GCCAGCCAACCCCGGCCCCGCACCCTGCTGAGCCCCGCCCCCGGCCCCGCGCCCGCACTGCCCCGGGCTTATAAGTGTGGGGTGTAGCCCCGGGGGGGGGCCGAGGTCGGGCCAAAACTGCAATATTGCAGTTTGGCCCAAGGGGTGCAGGCTGCGGCTGCGCAACCCCCTCTATTTTTTTTTTTTATATTATTTTTTTTACTTTTTTTGCCGGGGCCAGGGGTGCCGACCCCTGGGCCCCGAGGCCCCGCCGGGGCTCGACAACCCTGCCCGTGGTGACGACAGATAGAAACACTCTCTCTCTCTCTCTCTCTATTAGCAAACATAGAAACTTAGTTTGCATTTGTTTCTTCTACAATATGTAGTTGTTCAAATAAAAACAATCCTCACGCTGTTTTGCATGCTGCTCCGATCCCCATTGTGGTTTAGAGAAGCGTGAAACAATGTGAATTATGTCTACAATAGTGTCGGTCGAAACGACGCTACTGTGTTGATGTCCATTCAACTTTTCTCATTTCAATTTCTTGCAACCTGTCATATGTTGCCGTTCACTGTCGACCTCCTTGCACCATTGCTTAAATCCGCAGTTGTGTTCCATATTACCGCTGTCCGCGGGTGCGTCCACGACAAAAAACATGGCTACTGATGCAAACCATGTGCATTCGTTGCCTGCTCTAATTACGACGTCACTGTGCACTGGTCTCCCATGGAACTGTGGCGACGCTCTTGCAGTTTGAACAAGTGTGCCCCTGTTTGTTTCGTCCTGTACGCAAGCGATGACAAGGTGTGTCCGTGTGTGTATAAGAAGATCGTCAGAAGGAGGTTGACAACCATTCTCCACCATGTATGTCGTAAGCGCAACTCGAACATCGCGTCTGCAAGGAAGCTCTTCGAGTATCTTACACGCATGGTTGTCAATGCCTTCTCCCTCGCGTATGTACTCGTCATCGATGTCGAACCACCGCAGTTGCAGCATTGTCGTGTCCCGTAGCGCGAGGGTGTTTATTCCGGTGGCCATAAAGTCTGTCACGGACAACCGGTTCTCAACTGTTCTCTTCCTCTGTTTCCTCACGATCCTGATCTCTTCGCGCAACGCCAATGACCGACGCACATGGTTTACCATCCAGGTGAAACTTTTCGCTTGTTTGATTACAGGTATGGCTGTTTGCAGAATTTCCTATGGTGATGCTCCCAAAGATCTGCCGCGAAGGTGTCTGGGACACCGGCTCGCTCAATACACGTTGTCAGATGCATGAGATCGTGTAATTTGGGGAGTTTCCATGTTGATGGTTGATATTTTTCCAATTTTCCTTTGATGATCGTCACGAAGTCCGTGATTAAAGCGTCACATTCATCGAGCGAAGCACGACTGTGTGTTATACACCGAAACACTCGTATGTATATTTCCATCAGTTTCACAAAACAAACGGTATTGCCCTTGCCTGTCGAGCGCAGTATAATATTAGAAATAAAGAACACGCACACTGTCATCACCGACCGGTTTTGCTTCGCCTCGAACCGTCCCTCCCTCGAAAAAAAGTCGCTGCGAGTGGCCACCGACAACACAAGTTGGGGGTATGTTCGCGTGCATCTCTCACTAACGCTTTGCAACCTTGCATCTAGTTCCTTCAGGATCTTTGTTTGCGGTAAGTGCGGCAACTTCCCAAAGGCCGCGGTCCTGAATGCGTCAATCATGTGCAGGAATATGTCGTACTCGATTGTATGCATACGGTCTGGTTGCAATGCCAGGTGGTAGTCTAGCTGAGGATCGTCACCATTAGGGCCCCTGTAGAACCCCCAAAGGCCGTTCTGTTGAACATGCCTGTGCATGTTGAACTCCGACATTCGTGCTTCCGCTGCACGGCGAACGTCGATGTCGTCGGCGGTGAACACATTTGCTGTGAGGTGTGTTTCCAGCGTCTGTGATCTCCTGCGGTCTGTGAAATCGGCTATGACATCAAAATCGTTTTTGGACACGGTGCATGTCGGACATACACCAAACTTCAAAGTTGCAATTGCACATCGTTCTGGGTAGTCCTGGATATAGTTGAGGAGGAAAGGGTGGACAGTTATGTCCCCGAATCGTGTTGTCGGTATCATTATTCCATCATGAGCATCATGAGATGCCTCCTTCGCAGACTGCAATACCACTGAAAGGGCCTTGTGCAAAATGATGGCCTTTCGCTTTCTGAATGCGGTGGACTGCAGACCCCATCCTTTGTCACGCGGACGATGATGAAGCACGGGAAGATAGGCCAGCAGTGTGGCTTCGGATGCGTGGTCGGCTAGTGACATCATCAGAGGGTACGCCGTCTGTTTTTGACGACCGTCTGTATGTGTCTTGTCGGAATACAATGAAAGAGGGATAATATAACGTGGATTACCATTCCCGTCCACGTCATTGTCCGCTCGAATGATCGACTGGATGTGATAACTTAGCGCCCCGCTGCGTGGGCCGGATATACTGAGGTGCTCTGACGGCGGAGACACTTCTAGAGAAGACACCGTCTCGCATTTCTGTAATGCGATATGAAAAATCGACAGAAATGTCGTTCGCCAGTCGCGGTGCCACAAGATGGCGTGCGCATCCCGTGGCCAATCGTCACAACGTAGATCCAACTCTTTCCATCCAGCGGCGTCTGCTAGACTCCCTGCCCATATCAAACACTCTTGACTATAACGATACGCAATGTCTCTCGTGCATAATCTCGGGTCCGTGAGAAGTGACAAGAGAGCATCGATGTCGCTCTGCGACATACCGACGCCGCCCCTGGCGGAGAAAATCAGTGTCGCCGGCTTGCGAGAGCTGTCAAAAGATTCGACAGGTTGCGGTTGCTGCTTTTCGAATGTCCCGCCCTCGCCGTCTACATTCTCGGGGGCCCCGACGTCCTCGCTCTCATCGCTCACGAGATTCACTGCACCTATACTTGATGCTCCGACGTCATCGACCACACCCATCTCCTGGTCATGTATTCTTCGTTCGCCACGGCCGGGCATGCCCTCGCACGATGTGAGTTCAAAGTTCGTAATGACATGAAAGGCCTGCCACAGTCGCACACCCATGGACCGTTGTCCATTTTCTGTGCACGCAGTGCGTTCCAAAAACAACCAGAGCGGTGCGGACAGTGTTTTCATTAGCATTTTGTAGATTGGTTCATGTCGTTAGAATTATACATTGCAGAACATATTTTGTTATATTGTATAAGTGTCGCACATCCTCTTCTCTGTGAGAAAGAGATAAGGAGGGAGTACTGATTGCCGTTTTTGGTACGAATGGTCTGTGTCGCTGATCCCAATTGACAAAGATTAGTCGTCAACCGTGCGACACGATAATTTATATGCCATGCCAGGTTCTATGGTCGTGCACGAAGAGGCAACGACTTACGCATGGTACACGATATATGACACAAAATTCATCACCGCGGTTTTGCGGTTGGTCAAGTTCGTAACTATCCACCCACAACCTTTGTGAATGTGGTATGTGTTTTCCATGTCCGCGTGAAAATCATTGCACCTCGGCACCTCAGCCGACCTACGCACAAACTTCCAAAACATTTCACAACCTACACACATTGGTCATCACAGGGGGTCTGATGTGTCTGACGTACTCCAAAAGGCAACAAATTATAACATACATCGTAACAATCATCAAATGATTGAAATATTGTTCAATCCTGTGTCTGCACACTGTAGTGAACTTTCTCTCTCTTGGAGAGACAAATAACAGGCAGCATCAAATGTAACCCGCAGATGGATGTAGAGGTTCTAATATAGCTACAACTCGACATATGAGAAAGAGAGAGAAACATATATATATATATATATATATATATATATATACAAAGAGAGAGAGAGAGAGAAAGAGAGAGGAGGTTCACTCGTGCAGGCCAAAACGACAACAAACAGCACCGGTGGACACTGATATGGCACGCAGTAGTGAACCCGACTGTCGTTGAAATTGAGGCAGACATAGAGGGATGTATAGGTTGAGGGATGCATGTCTGTCATCATCCCTGATGTCTAACATTGTCTGTCGTGGTCTGTGGGTGTGTCTCCGGTCGCTGCCGTGACCGAGTACTAAATACTGCGTCTCTTGTTGACAAGCCGGGGTCTCTCCCCAAGCTGTCGCCATTGCGCCGTGTATGAGGCAACTCAGGTTGACTCCCCATGTCAGTGACGTTGCTAGCACAACCTCTCTATTGACCAGAATAAACCATCCTTTGCCAACACGTGACCATTTTTTTCCCTTGTTGCATGATTTCATTATGCTGGTCACTGCCACATACTGTAGTGCACCATCTGGTGTTGCCCCCTTCATCACAACACGCAACACTTTGTGCGGATCAGAAAAAGCACGTGCCAACCTCAGAATTGCATGTGCCCACCCTTTTGTCACTTCTTCACCCACACCCTTCAAATCGTAGTATACATCATGTTCCTTGTCTTCCTCGTCGCTGCTGACATCGCTGCCGCTCACTTCCACGTCAGAAGATGATGCCCCCTCATCCTCTTCTCCATCTTCTTCTTTTATACTGTCTGTGTACTCTGCACAACAACTTGGCAAATCGGCCTCTTCAAATCCACGATCACACTGTTCTTTCTCCATTGTGAAAGCATTGAAGATATCGCAACNTGTGTACTCTGCACAACAACTTGGCAAATCGGCCTCTTCAAATCCACGATCACACTGTTCTTTCTCCATTGTGAAAGCATTGAAGATATCGCAACACACTAGTTGCTCTCTCGTTGCTGTCTGCATGAGAGACACATCGWCTRCCATACTGGTTATTGATTCTTGTGCTGCTRATGTCTGTCCGTTGTCTGGAATGATTGCTAAATTTGTTTCMGTGGTGATCACCTTCCACCCTTCTTCTTTTTCTCTTTGTCTCTCAACATCGCAGCTTGCAAGACCGAGCYGCTCCAAAGCAGCTGATAACAACTCCCCCCACAACGGTCTGCCAGRTATGATGTTGTCTTCTGTTRTTGTTGGCACAAATTCTATCAGATCTTGACCCTGCAGTGCAAACTCTGTCACTTCGTGCAACGCCTCATGGATGRCGTTCCTGTCGTCGTCACTCTTTTTCATAAAGTCCACAAGTTGATCCAGCAAAATATATTCCACACCATCTGCAAGAATGACAGGAACATCTTGAAAGTCTTGTGGCAGTGTTTGTGTAATGTTCTTCATTCTGGACAACACCAATATTTCTGCAGCACCACTCTTCAACTCCTCCTTCGACCCATCAACCAACATTCCCCCATTCCGTGCGACAGTGCCCAGCAACTTGCCCAAGTTCGCAGGTGTATATGTCCCCCCTGTCTGCTGCATTGTCATGTCCACGTCTCCTTCTTCGCACATCCCTTNGACAGTGCCCAGCAACTTGCCCAAGTTCGCAGGTGTATATGTCCCCCCTGTCTGCTGCATTGTCATGTCCACGTCTCCTTCTTCGCACATCCCTTCGCTGCAAATCCACTGGACCACTCCTTTTAGACTGTATGCACTGTCTTCCACATCGTTGTCCACACGTACATGTGGTGACTATCTTAAGCGTTGCAAGAGTGTTCGTGCTTTGACACAGCCCTCGCCGTTTGCCATGATTGTGGATCTCATTTCCACAACGATTATGAAGTACCTCGGCACCCTGTCCTGAAGCAAAGACAACTCGCTGTCACCGTTGTAGTGGACACCCTCCTTTGCATACTTCATTACCTCTGCAAGAGCAGCCTCTACCTGTGCTACTGACATCGACATGATGCGTACGGTTTGTCTTTCGTCCTCTTCTCTCTGCCAGCGGAAAAACACAATGACGTCATCGACATGTGTCTGTGTGTGTGTCCGTGTGTGTGTGTGTGTGTGTGGCGTCTATGTATGAACCTATGTGGATGTCTGTGTGTCTTTGTGTATATGTCTATGGATGTGTGTGTATGAATGGTCTGTGCGTGCGTGTCTGTTCCCAAGTTGGCTACTGCGTGCCATTCGAAGTCGCAACGGTAATCATTCGTCAGCTTCTGGCACGCAGTAGCCAACTTGTAGGCTGGATGCCAGAATGTGTGTGTGTGTGTGTGTGTGTGTGTGTGTGTATGTGTGTGTGTGTGTGTGTGTGTGTGTGTGTGTGTGTGTGTGTGTCTTACTGTATATGTCTGTGTGTGTGTGTGTCTTACTGTATATGCCTGTGTGTGTGTGTGCATTTGTTATGCGTGTTTGCTTGTGCATGTGTTAGCGTGTCCGACTTCAGGTTGGCTATTGCGTGCCATTTGAAGTCACAACGGTAATCATTCGTCAGTTTCTCGCACGCAGTAACCAACTTTAAGGGTGCATGCCATAATGTGTGTGTGTGTGTGTGAGTGTGTGTGTGTGTTGTGTGTGTGTGTGTGTGTGTGTGTGTGTGTGTGTGTGTGTGTGTGCGTGTGTGTGTGAACTTTAAGGGTGCATGTCAGTTTCTGGCACGCAGTGGCCAACTTTAAGGGTGCATGCCAGAAAGAAAGAGAAAGAAAG